TGGGAAAGGAAAACAGCCCCGAACGCGGTCAGCCGCGGGAGAACGACTGCGCAGGCGACTCCTGGCTGCTCCCGTAACTTTTGGGTTAGCTAACTTGCTACTTCCTGAGGTGGCCTCTGCAGAATGGCGACCTAAACATGGGGCACGAATAGCTTTGGCTTGTTTGAGAGGTAAGTGTATTTGGCAAGACGTGCTGCTTTGGCTGCATCACATAATGGTGCACCTTGGATAGCTACAGAAGGGAAAAGCTGTCTACCTGTAGAGGTGTTTTCTACTGCCGCTTGTACGAAAGAAAATGAATAGAAGATTTTCCAGTTTTCTAACCGGTAATGCCTGTAGTTCTGGTAAAACCAGTCAAAAGCTCACCTAGGCCTTTGCAAAGGAAGGGGCTGGGCTGGGTCCTCTGGTAGCACTCACGGCACTATTAGTGCCCAGGAGGTTAAGTCTTGTACTTCTTGGTCCTTTTTGTGACTTCATAGTGTGTGAAGCAGCTAATGTGTCAAAAAAGCAAATTACAGTTTCAAATATGAGTGTATTTCTCGAGCTGGTGAACAGTAGTGCAAAGTCGTCTTGGTGACCACTTTGTAGGTGGCACGCCCCACAATGTATGGGAGAACGTGTAAATCTGTCTAAAGTCCCTCTCACTTTCAAAAGCCTTGAATCAGTTTGAGAGGACTGCTGATGGAACTGTTGTTTTCCAGACACAGTATTATGGTTTAGTGGCAAGGAGGCTGCAAGTATGTGAGTACATGTAGGTTCAGTGCTAATCCTGCATGCAGTTGTTAGAAAACATTTTCTCTTTTTGGAAGTAGTTCTTACTACAGGATTTTCTGTCCTATTAAAAGCATCCCAAAGCATAATCTGTTGACTCCTAAACATTCATTTAGCATTATCTAGGATATATGTTGGAAAAAATACGAAGTATTCTAAATAATATTCTGTTCTGAAGTAGGTTGCAAACTGTCTTGCATAGTAAAGAAGATTTTAAAGCAAAACCTTAGTGCCTAAATTGGTAATGAAGCAGAAAGTTAATTTTTGGATCTATTAACCTTCATTTGCTAACCTTGACACAGTCACGTTAGCCTACAAAAGAGAATCTTGGTATAGCTACAAGAGTTGTTGTGCTAGTGCTGTAGGACAAAATTGTTTAAGCAGCTATAAATACTTAAATACTATATGGTAAGTTTTCAGATCGCCTAGCAGCCAAAACCTACTTCAGCTTCAATCTGAAGCCAACCAACTGAAAGTTACTAGCAAAATCTGTGCCATGTTATTGGTGATTGCCTGAAATTGTCATCTGCCACCACTCATCTTTTGTATTTACTCATTATATCAGGGCTTAAATTCTGAGCATCTTTAGGCAAGTGCTGTGCTGGTAAGAAATGCAAGGCCTAAGGGTAAGCAGTAGTTCATGCAGGAGGTGCAAGTCTCAGCTGGCTGTGTTGCCTCTCGGAATTTCTGTTCCCTGAATAATCACTTTTACTGTGTGGAAAACAGTACTTTGGGGGGGTAGAAATTATGAATTTGTCTGGGTTTGCTAAGGCATTATACTTTTCAAGTATGTCTTTATTGTTGGAGGAGTTAACCGTTTGTTTAATTGTTCATGTGTTTGTGACACTGGCATTGTTAGGAAACTACAGGGTAGGAATTTCAGGTGAAAGGTACCTGTCCTCCCTTCCAGACTGGGTATCCCATTACAAAACAAATAACTGTTTGAGAAATTAAACACAAGAAGTTTCATTTCTTTTGTGTCTAACAGTGTGGGTTAGCTCACAGTCAAGCTAATACTAAGTAATGGAATCAGTTTGGATTTTTTTTTCCCTTTTTTGTACTTAACCATCTTTTTTTGCATGAGTTGTAGAATTGCAGTATTTGACTTTAACCTACCCTTGTCCTGTTCAGCTAATTCAGAAGTTAGTAATGAGGATTTTTTCACACAAGCCTAATCTATTTGGGAACCAGGATGAAAAATGAAGCTTACATTGAGGTTGTAAAAAGTTACTGTAGCTCTTTACAACCAATTATATAACCAATGTCTTGGGAATTCAGAATTTAAAAACAATGTTGTGGAACATGAAAGTTGGTTTTCCTTTGGAGTTACGCATTACCATTTTGTTGTAATACGTGAGCGCTGTGATTTACCGAAATCCCCCAATATTTTGGTAGTACAATTCTCATGGATTGTGTAGTTTTTTGCTCTCGACATTGACCCAAAGAAGGGCGGTTTGTTAATTTTATGTTCTGTAGAAGTTTTTGAAAAGACAACGAACCAGGAAGATACTGTGGAAGAACAGTCAGGAAGTCACATAAACATATCTTGGTGGCACTCTTAGTTTACTAATGGAAACTGATTAATTTAAGTTTTTTTCATATAATTTTGAAAGCCTTTGAAAAAGGAGCAGAAGAAAGGAATGAGAAAAGGACAATGAGATCAGTGAAATTGGAAAGGCAAGATGGTGCGGGAAAGGAAAAGAACATTGAAAGGATAATCTGAAGACATAAGCCCTGGACAAAACGTAACCTTTTTTGTTCACAGTGAAGGAATTAAACGCACACCCTCTCTAATATGTGTATTTTGTTATAACATATTATATAATATTATAAAAAATATAATATGTAATATTATTTATATAGTGGCATATACATTTTAAATATATATACATCGAACATCATAAGAAGAGGTGGCAAATAACCAATATGGGAAACAATTTGAAGACTAAGGGAGAAAGGAAGTAGTCTTCAGCTGTGAAGGGCCAGAGAAGAACAGGGGAAAGGAAAGACTGTGTGTGGGCAGGAAATTAAAGCTAAATCACCTTTTCTGTAGATGCAGTTGAGAGAAACAACTGAAATATCTGGAATAGAGATGCCTTTATTTTGAGAAAGCAATTAAGAGAGACCTTAGAGTGGATTTCTGATGCAAAACTGAATTTAGTTTTGACTTTATTCTGTAAAATAAAGTGTTTCCTTAAAATGTATATTACACCTTAATAAATTTATTTTTCAATTATCTTATTTGTCTCTGAATTGTCATAAGTAATCAAACGCTAGGACAAGCTTATTTGCATTCATAGAAGTTTTAAAAATCTGTATCTTAGAAACTCAAAATTATAAACCAACCAACTTCCACACAGGAGTTAGTGAAATGTTTTCTTGCTTACTACTTATTTGGTTTAAAACAGTGTCTATGGCTCTAAGATCATAACTTACACCTAGCCCTCAGGTTCAAAGAGATTTTGTTCTTTTCTCTTTGGGAATTCATAATCCTTTGAATAAGTTATGGGATAGGTTAGGTGGTTAGTTGTTTGTTTCTTTGTTTTAATACAAGAAATATGGCCTTCTTTAAGATGACAGTTGACTGTGTAAACTGGATTCTGAGTTGTCACAAAACCAAAATTGTTTGTTGATAGGCCACAAAACTGATTTGCAAACAACAGCAAAAAAAAAAGCCCCCAAAATATCATGGGTTTATTTTTTCTCGTGAGCCATATTAAGGTGGTTACTACTATTTTTTAAATTCCCATTGCAGGTTACATCTCTATAAAAATCACCTAAGAGAATTCACATTGTGCCTGTAATTGACGCTGACGTAATAGTTGTCATCTAACAGTCACCTATGTAACCTTGTTCTCATGATTTGGTATCAGATGCAGTAGCACATCCTGGTTCTAAGTTAGGTGGTGTTGTAAAGGGTTCCAGAACCATTCAGGTGCATCAGGAATAATTAGGATCATTCACGTGCCCCAGTTTCTGGTCTCAAATTCCTGTGTACTCGAAGCGGTTGGGTTTTGACTCCTCCCCCCCCCCCCCCCCACCTTTTTGCTCCCTGTAGTATTAGGCTAGATTTACTTTACCAATGTGCAACTTTAAAAGATACATTATTGTGTTCATTTGAAGTTTGTTTCCAAACCAGTTAAAGTTAATAGCTGTTTCAAGTAAGTAATTGCAGCCATTCATTATGCACAGTAATACCCATTTAAACAAAATATTTGATACTTTTAATTTTTTTTAAAGCAAAACTCAGTTTTTCATCCTGTATGCTTTAGACTGTAATTTAAAACAATACATAAACATAAGCCAGATCATTTAAATGACTGGATAGCTGCTGTATTTTCTTGGTTGCAACAATGTAAACAAGGTATTTGCTTTCTTTTTAACTTTTGCAACAGAAAATAAAATTACCCAAGAAAACAGCCAGACGATACCCAGCATATGAGCTCTATCTCTACGGGGAAGGGAACTACGCCAAAGAAAACAAAAATCTCCTATTAACTGGAATTCCAGTTCTCTTTCTTCCTGGGAACGCTGGCAGTTATAAACAAGGTAAGAGTTTAGCTAAGTTATAGGTATGTTACAAAGAGCCCTCATATTTATGCATTAGTTAGTGGCAAGAAGATTTCTGTTTGAAATGAGAATCATAATGATTGATCGTATTATGATATAGATATCCTTGTTAGTCCATGGTTAATTTCAAGCAGTCAAAATATGTTATTTTTGTTTGAAATTGGTTGAACAGTTGAGCTATAATAATTTTCTGGAGTGAGACTAACTTTTGAAAGTCAGAAACAGTACAGTTTATGCCATACTATGGCAACACTGCACCCTTGCTGTATTTTTGATGGCAAACATCTAGTTGGTTTTGATTTGAACAAGGTATAGTGCAGTTACGCCAAATAAAACAAGACCTGAATTTGATTAGAAGAAACTGAACAAGCTACCATCTGTGATGTGAAGTAATTACGTGCCATAGAAATAAGCATCATCTTGTGGCTTGCCCTGTAGCTTCGTTATTTCCTACGTCTTTACGTAGTGGTGTTTTTCCCTTAGCATCATCTTCCCACTTTACACATAGCCTGCTTTTATTTTCCAGGTTATTCCCTCTTATGCTTCTAGGCCCCAAATGAAAAGAAGTAATAGTTTTAAAGTGTCTTTATTTTTCATTGTAAATACCGAAGTTAGTAGTTTGACGAACATGAAGTATTGTGTTTAAGTGTTTATTCCAGTATCTGGTATTTCTTCCAGGCTGGGTTTGTCAGACCATTATTTTTATTCTCTAAAATGTGCTTTGAAACAGTAACATACTTATCATGTTAGCAAAACTGATGTGTATGTATGGGGAAAACTACCACAGTCTAAACCCTGAATGTCTTACTGTGATAATTTTTCCTTATATTTACACTAAACTTGATGATTAAATTATCTGATTTCAGAGAATCTTTACAACATTATTTTCTTTGAGGACATACTCACTTAGCTTATAACAAAGTAAAATATTGTACAACTCGTATTTTAAGAAAACCCATACAGATTTGCAGGCACAATAACATCCAAACAAGATTACAAACATAATGATTATGAGAGATGCCATATGGACTTTTGTAATTGTGCATAAAGTATTGCAAATCTGTGAATGCTGTCTCTGAAAACATGGCAGTACATCACTATGCAGGAAATAGAATGGTACTTTCAGGGCATGTTAGGAATCAAAAGGAAATATCAAAGAAAAACTTAAACTAGGTGAGTAGAAGTACTACATGCTGTGGATATAATGTGCTACTTAAGATCAGTAAATATTTAAATATTTATTCTTTGAGAGATTGATTTAGGGAGACTGGCAGTAAGTCATGTGCATTTTTCAAAATCTTCGTTAAAATAAATTGTTCTGCCTTAATCAGTGGCTCAGAATAGTTTTTTTATTATGGAATTTATGAAAATTCATATTTTGTTCAGAATTTATTGTGGTATAACACACTTTCATTCTGATACCTAGATGAGCAGAGAAGGTGTTGCTATTGTTATTTTCTTACTTGTTTAAAATATTCATATTTGCTGAGTAATAAAGACAGAAGCGCTGCTGCTGCCTTTGCTGGGCTTGTTATTTTCATAGGGTCATAGAATCGTTTAGGTTGGAAAAGAAAGTTTAAGATCATCAAGTCCAACTGTTAACCTAACACGGCCAAGTTCACCACTAAACCACGTCCATAAGTGCCAAATCTACACGTCTTTTAAATACCTCCAAGGATGGTGACTCCATCACTTCCCTGGGCAGCCTGTTCCAATGCTTGATGACCCTTTCGGTGAAGAAATTTTTCCCAGCGGCAAATTTAAACCTCCGTTGGCACAATCTGAGGCCATTTCATCTCGTCCTGTTGCTTGTTGCTTGGGAGAAGAGACTGACACCCACCTTGCTACAACGTCCTTTCAGGCATTTTTGAAACATGTTAATTAATCATCTTTCATGGGCACTAAACCAAACCTTTTAAAATGTACAAAATTCAGACTTTGAGTAAGAGATGGTGGTCTGGTTTAATTGTTGGGAATAAACCTGAGATTGGCAGAACTGAGATCCTGAGTTCTATTTATGAATCGGTCACATGCTTGCCTTGTGATCTTTGGCAATATTCTTGTTCCTTTTACCATGATGTAAAGATTTTTAACATGTAAAGTTGTGATTAAGCTACTTGGTCTTTTAAATACTTTTTAGGTCTTTTCAAACAATTTTGGAGGTGTTCTTGTTGCTTATTAGCTTTAGGTAGAATTGGTGAAATCATTGACTACAAATTAGATTTATAATTTTCATCATGCTGATAATATCTGTTTGAGTGTTTGAGCATATGGTACTTCATAAATATTATTTTCCTATTTCATGAGCTTCACTGAAATTTGTTTGATATGTTGATTTCTATAGCAAACTTTTCCCAGAAGGAAGATTCTGCAGGCTGCAGATCTCTGAAACTGTTGCACTCTAGAAGAATCTTGCTTCTGTGTGCCAAATTTGGGCCAACCTTTCTGGCGACTATTAGTTATTTTATATATTTGCTTTTGGGACTTTCTCTTTTATTTTCTTCTTTCCCTGCCATGCTTTTTTATTTGCAGCCATTACTGTTCCCATCCTGCCATGTCTCCATGGAAACTCAGGGACAATTCTGCACTCAGAAGGTTGTATTAAATAGCAGCCAGGGTTAAATGGAGAAGACGGGTCAGAAGCAAGACCTTGTAAATAGAACATTTTCTATCTCAAGGCTTTAGGCAGAAAAGCATCCTTTAGGGTTTGTTTTTCCAATCCCCCATACATATCTTGCTGGTATTTGGGAATCTTGTCCTAGAGTTGGTAGTCTTCAAAGGAATTTTAGGAAAGCCTAGCAGTGGCAATGCCTCTAGAGTTGAAGTCAAGAATGCTCGTTTCGCCTTCTTGCCCTGGTGGTGGTAAGAAGGTGCAAATGAGATGAGAAAAGCAGCCCTCATATGAACATAATCCTTGATCTTGTATAAATTTGGTTGTGACATAAAATATCTCTGTAGTCAGCTGTAAGCTAGGTCACATGGTTAACTGCCATAAGTATAGCGTGCAGCTCCTGGTAACTCATTCCAAACTTTCTTTTCGTTTAATCAGGTTTGCTCTTGTCCACATTCTTCTGTAAGCTCTTGTTATGATATGTTTACTAATATTTTTTTATCAGAGGGATTCTTCTAAAAATAGGAAATATTTATTTCTTTTCTCATTTTATGATTCAGTTCTGATAGTGACTGGCTGATACTTTTTCTATATTTATTTCTTCAAATCTGTTTTTGTAAAACAAGTGTGCATATTAGGAAAGAGATTATTTGCTTTTGAATGTCTTTTTCATCCTTTTTTACTTTTATAAATGATTTGAGATGAACAATGGAATTATAATAGATTATATATTTATGTGTTTATCTACTAATGACAGTGCTAAGCAGTGACTGCTAAACTGTTCCAATTGATGTGGTTTCTTTTCCTAGTACGTTCTCTTGGCTCCATTGCACTTAGAAAAGCAGAAGATGTTGACTTCAAGTATCATTTTAATTTCTTCAGTGTCAATTTTAATGAGGAGTTGGTTGCATTGTATGGTGGTAGTCTGCAACGACAGACGAAGTTTGTGCATGAATGCATAAAAGTAATTCTTAAGTTGTACAGGGTAAGTAGTGACATATGCTGAATGATGTACTTGCATGGGGGAATGGAATTCTGGGCTGCCTTTTCTGCTGGAAAAATGAAGAATGATGAATAAGGGAGGGAGACTTTATAATGTGTGTAGATAATTGAATGTGATAATAGCACAATAGAGAATTGCTTCTCTTTAATAGATTTTTTTTTTAATGCTTTTGACAATCCCAGAGCTTTGGTTAGGTTCTATATTGTGTTTCTAAATAAACACTTCCATGCTTAATGTGTGCTTTTTTGTAGTAGAAACAAACTTTCCCTAGCTTATTAAAATGTTAATATAGCATCACCTTACATCCAGTTTTCCCTAGGAAATCTTCCTTGATATCCTGTGTCCCTAAGAGTCTGGGAAATTAAAATAAACTTAAATTTCTTATGCTTACACAGGCTATATAATATTTCCATCTGAGCTGTAAACTTCATGTTAAGCACATTTTTTTGAGATAGCAACTAAATTTATATTCATTTTGTAAACTTGTCAAGTTGATACTAATTAATGTTATCCTTGAGAGTACATAAGTTAATTTTGGGTGAAAAATAATGTACAACTGATACTATAGTGCAACGTCAAATCTATTTTTCATGTGTTTACTCTTTGCTTAAGGATCGAGAATTTGCACCGACTAGTGTTGCAATAGTAGGTCATTCCATGGGTGGTCTTGTGGCAAGAGCATTGCTTACTCTGAAGAATTTTAAGCCTGAACTTATAAACCTCCTCATTACACAAGCCACACCTCATGTTGCACCTGTAATGCCTTTAGACAAATATCTTACTGGTAAGTATTGTAGGTTATCTAATTACATTGTATTTCTTTATTGATCCTCTGAAGCATTAATAGCTGAGATTCTTGCAAATCAACAGCAAAATGTGCTGTTTTGTTTACTGTAATTAATCTGTTCCTTTGTTACTCAGGTAGTTGTTTGAGAGCACTAGGATACTAAGAGAAAGTAAAGTGTCATATAAAATGGATTATGTGGATTTGAACTTCTGTGAAGGGCCTGGAGCTCTCAATAATTTGTTATTTTAGTAAACTGCAGAGCATATTACTAAATTTGTAAGATCTCCAGTGAATGATGTTTTTTCTTTCTTTTTGTAAAACTTGACCTCTGTACTGGCTCTCTTTATCAAATGAATTGCCTAAATAGTGGTATTTCTGTAGAAGTTGCTAAATTTGTTTGTCATGCCCAAAGATTGGGGGGGTAAGAGTATTAAATATAGGTGTAATTATATATTTTATATAATATATTTACACAAAAGATAAATTGTATTTTCTGCTTACCTAAGTAACTGTGGCATAAAAAATTAAGTATAATCATTATGCATTACACTTCTTGAAAAGCTAGATTTGACTAAACTATACTGATGAAATATGTGCTCAGTGATAATGGTGGTGCTACATGTAGATATTGAGGGAATTGGCGAAGGAAAGGGAATAGACATTTATTTTCATTATTGTCTGTGGCACTCGAGAGGAATGGATTATCTTTAGCTGCTGAATTTGATTTATTGTGCTTGTATTAATTATCCCTCCTAAACTGATTGGAATACAACGCTTCTTCCTTGCTGAGTGTTTCTGGACTGTGGCTGTCCTTCAAATAAATCTTTATATAAAATCAAATAAAGCTGCTTTAACAATATATGTGCTTGGCTGATATAGAAAGTGTAAGTGTATCTGTCTTTCCCAATTGCTACTTCCTTGGGCTTAAAACAATAATTTTCCTTCCTTATATGAATCAAAAGTGATAATCGGAGCTTGAATGCTTCTAGGGGTGCTTACAGAAACTTTCAGTTAAATGAGTTAAATGCTTCTATAGCTTTTTTTGTATATCAAGTAGACATATGGGGAAATTGTGATTGATTTTAATATATTTTATAGATTTTTATACAGCTGTAAACAATCATTGGATTCTAAAGGCCCAAGATTTAAGAAATTTAACTACCCTTTCTGTGGCGGGAGGATTCAGAGATTACCAAGTTCGTTCAGGACTGGCTTTTCTACCAAGATTGAGTCAACATGACAGTGCCTTATCTGTTGTGGTAAAAAAGCAAACTATTTTTTTGATTTTGCATGGAGCTATGTTAGATAGCTATTTATGTAATGCATGTATCAGTGTCTAATTATAGTCTATATGTGCAGCATAGTATAACTAAATATGAAAATAATACGTGTGAAAACACAAAGTAGATAGTGTACGGTTATAAAATCATAAATAGTTGATGTAGTATAAATGAGTGTCCACCGGAAGAGTATGTGTTGGGGTTGATTCAAATCATCTACCACTTGGTACTGTTTCTGCTCACCACCTTCTTGCACCTTTTCATTTTCAGAATTCAGGTTTTATTTTCCTGCGTTTTTGCAAGAGATGTATATGGGGACTGACAGATGTGCAGTATAGAAGTAGACTGCTTGTTTGATTGTAAAAAGAGAGCTCTGGCCTGGAGCCTCCTTTTTGTATTTATTGTTTTTCAAAGAATTTAGGAATAGAAAGGATGTACTGGATCATCAAGTCCAGTCTTCTACTTTTGCAGGCATCGATCTCCTTCCAAAATTAATCAGGAGACATCATAAAGTAGCTAGGTTTGTCATTCCAACCTCTGCCAACAACCTGTTCCCTATATGTACGAAGCTGGAAAACATTCTCCACTAGGGAGAAAATTTGTAATTTCAGACTTCCATTTACTGTGCAAGCCAGTTTTTTAAATGTATTTGTTCTGACATCAACTTGAAATGTTATCTGTAATAGTTGTCATTCCCTTCGTGTTTACCTCCTGTCCATTGTACAGAAAGCTGTCTATAAATAATCTCAGCTCTGATTCTGCTAGGCTAAGAAGATTAACTCTGCATTCCCTTTGTCATAGTAACTGTTGTCTGCGTCTGCTCGACTTTCATTTCTCTTGAGTGTTGGTGACCAGAATTTTGCATGAGATCTCATGTAGTGGTACTGTTTTTTTCCCATGGTTTTTGGTTGGTGGGGGGTTTTTTGTTGTTGTTTGTGGGTTTCAGGGTTTTTGTTTTGCTTTGGGGGTTGTGTTGTTATTCTTTGGTTTGTTCTTTTTGTTCCCAACTGTAATGCATTAATAGTTCATAGCTTACTTCATTCAAGTTGTACAACTTGAATGATGAGCTCCATTTATGGGAGGCACTTTTGACATTATTAGTCCCTAAAATGCAATACATGCAATACACTTATACAAATGAATAGCGTCAAACTGACCACTTCTTTCTGCTTGGTGTTCTGATGCTTCTTTCTGTTGAGGATGCCCCTGATTTTTCAGCAGCAGCTTTCATTGGCATCCTTCTATTCTTGTGTGCCAGGATCACTTGTTAAAATAGTAAGGTTAGTCATAGAAGCAGACTTTGAAGAAATTTCTGGTAAGTTTCCTCCACACCGTTATTTGCCTTTCACCTTTAGTCTCTGCTATCTAACATAGATAACTATGGTTATGGTCGATCATTTTGTTTTACAAGTCCTGTTTTACAGCACTTGTAAGGTTTTTGCATGAAGAAGTCATTCTGTTGTCCCTGAAACTTCAGATAAACACTATTCTTTCTAATAACTCTGCAAATGTGTTTAAATAGGGAGGGGAAGGGCTTACTTAGAATTTTAAAATGTTGAACACTAACAAAATCTTAACTTTTTTCCTTCCCCAAACAGACCTCAGCTGTGCCTAGAGCTTGGGCCTCAACAGACCATCTCTCCATAGTGTGGTAAGCTAATAGAACAAAGTTTAATTGACTGTCCATACATCACTCTGTTCTCTACTGTGGTAACATTATACAGTATACACTATACAATAATTTAACTTCAGCATGTTATTGTTATGATGCCTCTTCTGACCACTTTTATTCCCCTGGATATTTCCTTTCTAGATTTAATTTTACTTGTTCTGTCTTCTAGGTGCAAAGAATTGATCCTGGCTACCGTTAGAGCTTTTTTTGATCTCATAGATGAAAATACAAAGCAGGTTTGTATATGTGATCTCCTGTATATTTCCCCATCGCACTTTCTTCTTCCATCCCAGAATGCTTAATCAGGACAAATATGACCCTATTATACAGAAAACTCCTTTTTGATTATTCTAAGTCATGCTGAGAAAATTATTACTCTTTTGAACCGGTCACTGAAAAATCCTGTGACTTTGCATTGTTTGCCCAATATGTCAGAAATAATTAGGTGTTGACTCAGTTCTTATTATTGATTGCTTGATGCTTTATAGCTGGGGTGTGGACTGAACTTTTCTTCCATAATGTAGCAGGTTTAGTCTGACTGTGAACCAGGATAAACAAATTTTGCTAGCTGTGTAGCTTTGAATATGACCTCTCAATGTGTGTTTGAGTCACCTTCTCTGACTAGTATTACAAAGGGTGAAAAACTGTGATAATTTAACTCAGACATAATACTTCCTGAACTTCCCCATGTGTTGTCATTATAGTGACCAGTACGTATTTGTGGTGTTCTTTTGCAAATAGCACTTACAAAAATAGAATGCAAGTAAAATACTAGCATAATTGTTTATCTCCAGCTACCATTATTTGTTGCTTTTCTAAATAAGTATCCTGCATCTCACTTTTTGAAAACTGTTGGAGAAATCTCCCATTGTACTCTGTTCTCGTTCTGAAATGTTATGCAGCAGTAAATAAGAATTGGAATTAATGTCCAAGAGGTTGGAAATGCATAAGACCAGAGCCCCAGACATAGAAGAGGAAGGCTTGCAGGTCTTCTTTTTGAGACTGTTTGGGGCAGACTTCTCTAGTTTCTTAGATGCACTCACTTCAACATGTGATTGAGAGAGACATAAAGGGGGTATAGTTCTGGAGTTGACTGGCAGTGTGCTGGAGGGTACAGCTTTTCAGAAATCGGCTGTAATGGCCGCAGTTTTGGAAAGCTGAATAGATGAAAATTAGTCCTGAAAATTTGATTTGGAAAAAGAAAAAAAAAATAAATCGCAAACCAACCAACCCAAAACACAAGCAAATCCCAGTGTAGCTCTACAGCTATTTGGACGCTTGAAATTTATTAAGATGAGATGTAATAAGCTGGATTTTTGAACTCTGACTAGTAAATATAAATGTGTTGTTTCAGGAAGAATGCATGTGTGTCTATAAAGAGAGTTTAATAGAATGGTTTCCTTGTGTTAAGAGTAGGCAAGGATGTAAAACTAAAACTTTTAGTTACACTTTATAACGTGTAGACTTCTGTATTGCCGTGATTGACAATTGATGGCACTTTATTTGTTGAGATTATTGAATTTGGAATAGAAGCAGTGTATCATGTATTCTAACAATCTCCCTTGCGTCTCATCTCCAAAACTATATTGCTAACTCTGATCATGTAATGATTCTAAATGATTACACGAATTAGTAAAATAAAATTCGGCAATGTGCTCTTTTTGTAGATAACTGAAGACCCAAAGAAGAGAATGTCTGTATTGAATCACCACTTTGTGAGACACCCTGCAAAGATATTTGAGGAAAATCCTGACATTTTTACAGAACTCACAGGTGTGCAACTATTTTCTTTTGAACAGGATTCAATGATTCTCCTTGGTTAATAGTTAATCTCACTAACAAACTTCTGGAAAAATTTTGTCCTTCTTCAGACATTGCTAAAATTATACATGGGTTATAGAGCTAAGCTATCAACTTTTGTGTGGTTTCAGCATTAGATAGATTAAAAGGGTAGGAGCAAAACTCTGTCATTTTTATATGGTTTAGATTCTGGGGGATGAGCAGAAGTCATTTTTACACCAAGGTGTCTAGTAGACAATCACAGAAATTGGGAATAGCTGGATGTCAAAAGTACAGTCTAATCTACGCGTACATCCCATGCTTGTAAGAGGGGTAGTATGAGTGTTGTAGAGCCATTGTGTTAGTTGTGTGCTTCTCATGGAAATCCTGAATATTCAGATCTACTTCATCAGTGACTTCTTTTTTTAATGACATGGCAGGGTAAAATGCACTGCACACTAATGGTTTCCTTGTAACCGCTAAGAGTGCGTAATCAAAGCTGAGAAATTTTGACTGCATGAGTCTTAGGAACTAAACAGAACTTTTGCAGGGCACAGTTGTATTCCTAGCTTTGCTGAAGTGGGCTCAACCATGTTCTGAAAACCATTTTTTGGGGGGAATTTTCTTAATGTAAACTTTGGCAGAAGTATCAAGGTAACTTGAACTTTGGTGTCCAGTTTTGGCCACCCTGGTGTAAGAAGGCATTTAGGTATTGACAGGTACTGAAGTGAGTATGGAGCAGAGGACCACCAAGATGGTTAGATCCTGGGGCACAGGACATGGGGGAGAGAGGCTGAGTGAACTGGGCTTTTTTTCACCTTGAAGAGAATGCTAAGGGGCATCCTGTTGCTGTCTTCAACTACCTAATGAAAGATTGGAGAGAAGGCGAGGCCAGACTTTTCTCAGAAGTGTACAGTGATAACACAATAGGCAGTACAGTCCAGTTTCAACAAAAGAAATTCCAATTAGGTATTAGGAAAAAGTACTTCACCAGGAGGGTGGTCAAACTCTGGGTGCCCAAAGAGGTTATGAAACTGATTTTTTTTTGTTTGCTTTTTTTTGGGTCGGTTTTTAGCAATAAGGAGGAATATGTTTAAATTGGATTTCATGTTTGCATCTTCCTGTTTCTGATGACCTCTTCACACTTAGATAAATTTCTGTGAGGAACATGTTACTCTAGTTACACAGAATAAAGATATTAACCTTCTTGCATGACAGTTTGCATTGTTTGTGGCTCTGATCTCTTCATTATTCTGTCTTATTCTTTTTCTCCAGACATATCTTTAAACTGCTACTATTTTCTTGTATGTTCTATTCAGTTCATCACTGCCATCACGAGTTTCTGTATTAGTTTTCTTAAAAAGCTGACAGGAACAAAGGTTGGGGCTGTTTCTAATGTTGCCTCAGCTCTAATCAGTCACTTACCCTGTAATTACATTAGCATCATTCAGTTTCTTACTTGTTTTGTTGCCTTGAGAGCTTTGTTTCAAGATCCATAGTTTTTCTTTTACACTTAAGATGTCCTAGGGTTTTGCTGTTTCCTGTGTAACTGATGATAACTGTTGCACATAATTCTAAGAGGTGGCAATCCTCAGTGTTGATTAAAGCTCGTCAAGTTTATGGCCATTTACAGATAAGACCTTGGTGATAAGTAAAAGATAAGATTTTGGAGATAAGAATAGTTCCTGCAGTGTGGCATATAAAAACATATTTATTTTTAGGAGCTTTCGTGTGGATTACAGTCAAAGCCTCAAAATGGACTTATTCAGCTTACAATGTAAGTAACGTTTTTTTCCTCATTGTGTTTTTATGTTTATTTTTTTACTAATGAGCAATTTTTTTTCTTTTAAGGATTCTGATGGAAAATATTTCACATTTCCTCTTGCAAGCCACAGAAAATCATGCAGTCATGTTTACTGTGAAAACAGTATGTTGGTGAGAAAATACTACTTTAATGTCTGGAGTTTGTTTATAAAGCTATATTATTTTAATTTAGATTTGCTGCAGTTTTAAGACAGTTTAATAAACACTTGTTGAAATTACTGACATGAATGTACTTCCTGTTCTAGCATGTCACACTTAGTGTTCAAGGTCTGAAAACTTCAGTGCCACCTGAACCTCAGATGTCTTATTTTTGATGCTCTTATGATTGGCCCCAGATTGCTTTCTCCTTTAATTTAGTGCAGGTGTAGCTTGATGGTTTTGAATGAAGAAGTCATTTTTACTTCTGCCGGGATTCAGATGTACTTCTAATTTGGGAAAGCTGTTTATAGGTTTCCTTTCCCACAAAAAAAAATTTAAGTGAGCCTGAAAGGCTACAGAGGTCTTCCACTAAGCAGTGGAAGCTAATGGGAAGCAGCTTCTCAGTTGTCTCCTCTATTGAGAGGAGAGGCAATAATGTGCATTTCCTATATTTTTAGCTCAAGACACAAAAATGCAGCCAAAATGGTTTTGAAATATTTTTTTAAAATATTTTTTGAAAGGAATGAATGTAATCTCTTGGCAAACTAGAGATGGATAAATATGCTTTTCAGAATTACATGAACATTTTAGATTAGTGGCAAGAAAACGGAGATGCTTTCATATTCCATCCTGCCTGTCCCTGTTGCCACTTCTCCCCCTACCAAAGAAGAGGTTCATACCACCATTATGAAAAAAGAGTGTATATTCTCAGTGCTTTTCTTATTGTATTTCCCGGTAGCACCTTCAATATTTACACATTTGTTGTGATCTTAGTTGTGCTTTAATAGGGTAACTTTTGCCTTTGTTATAGTATCTCAAAGACAGGACTAGTACTGCTTGAAGAGGAGGAGGTATGGAATAATGTCTGAGATACTTGCATCATGGTGTTATTGCTTCAGAACACTTAAGTTCTTGAGGAGGGCAGGAGTAGAACATTAAAAATCTAAAGTATTCCTTGACTACTTAGGATAGTACCTTGAGATGTTTCCTTATGAGAGTTTGGTCACTATAGTGATAGCTGCTGCAGACACGCTTAATAGAAAAGGAGTGAGGTGAAGATGGAAGTTTGTTGCTCTTTTTAGTAAGTTAATTGCACCAAGGTTCTGCTATCAGAGGGTTTTTAGAACAGTTGCTGACATCTGGTGTCCTGAAACAGTTAGCATATAGAAAATTTGGAGAAGATTATCAGCATTAACTCCTGCATTGTTTGGAGTAAAGAACTGCTATTTTTAATATATTGATAAATACATTCACACATAGGTAATGTACTATATTATGGTATTGACTTTACAGGACACAAGTAGCTGGATTTATGGCTGTATGAACAGTAATTCTTCGATGTGGTGAGTATAAACAGTTTCTATTCTTTATTCAAATGCATCTTGTGAGACTACATTTGAATTTAAAACATAAAATACCTTCCTCCTTAGGAAAGGATTGGGAAGAAAAGTAAAATTTTTACTGTGAATAATTCATGCTTTCTGTATCACCAAGAAAACAGGAAAGAAGAGATTTTCTCAAAATTACAGCATGAATGCAGAATAAAATAGGTGAACTTTTTCTTATTTAAGCTATATTTTTGACCTTCATAGCAGTGAAAAGTTGTTCCTGTTGCTCTCTTGTGGACACTACACGCTGTGTTGGATTCCTAAGTTGTGTGTTTTGTAGCATCTCATTAGAATCCTATGACAGAAGACATCAAATGTCACTCAAAGCCTTTAGAAGAGTGGATTGAAGCATCTCTTTTTTTTTTCTTATTCCAAAATTGCTATTGTCATATGAAAAATATTTAGAAATGTGGGCGATTTAGTGATTACTTTAATCAGGTCATTACAATCATTACAAAATGAATTTAAAACACTGGTTTGACTTACAGTTGCGAAGTAAGCTTGAAGTAAATTCAATCTTCCCTTCAGGTTAGGGGAAAGCTTTCAGGTGGAATTGAGCTAGGATAGTATTTACCTGTTCTGGGATCTGTGCTGAGGTGTACAGCCACCAGCTGAGTCTTGCCTCTAGCTGATAGCCAGATGTCATAATTGCGTTTTCCTAATCCAAGAAGTAGTTGGCTATTACTCCTTTTATATAACCTTTGATCAGCATCAAGTGCAGGTTAGCCTAGTTCAGGACTGCTACCTAAAACCTCATGTAATAATAGTGTTTTTGTTGTGGACTGTGTTTCCTGAGGTCACATAACACTATTTAGAGAAACAGAAGGATCCTGGTATTCTAAAAATCGTAACTTAAAATGACTGAATGAATGTGTTGCAGTTCATATAAGTACGCGCAATTTTGGAAGTGCTGCAAGCTCTGTGGCAGCTAACAAAATTTTTGTTGTATATGGTATGTTTATATGGCATGTTCCCATAGGAGAAATTGGTACTTTTGATCTTTAAAAGATGCTAATAAAACTGTGTGTTAATTCAATGCCAGTGCTATTTTAGTTCATTAAGAGTCTTCACTGTGTGTCTGAAGTTGCATGGCTAATAACTGCTGAATGTTGTGTGTAGGACAAAGAGCTTTGCTTAACTTGTTTTTGCAAAAAACAAGATTTGCAGTATCTGAAATGAGTATAGTTTTGATAAATTACTGTGGTAGCTAACTGCAGTAGACCCAAACTTGTTCTCAATTTAAAATCATGTGAATACATATAGAGAGGGACAAAAGCTGGAATGTTAATCCAGTGTCATAACATAGTGCCTGCATAATGAATATATTCATCTTTTAACATGCATGAATTTTTACAGCCTGGAAGCTACTGATTTATCCTGGAGAGCTGAGTTACTTCCAACCACCAAGGTAAGTATTGTATGTAACTTGTAGGAGGGAGAGGTGCTTGGTGGGGTAGTTGCATGCCATGGGAGAAGGATCTGTTCTGCTTGCAGCAGTGGAACATGCAGTTGTATTCTAGAGGAGGGGGTACAAGAGGTAGACATCTGGGAACTGGCAAGGGGCAAGTTAACGGGTATGTTCAGTAATGGCTTTTTCTTTTTCTTTTTTTTTTTTTAAGGTTGTAATACTGAAACTTCAGGACTATCCTTCATTGTCCCACATTGTCATTCAGGTACCACCCACAGCTGGCAATAAGGTAAAAAAAAATAAAATTAAAAAAGTGCAGAAATTGCTTGCTTAGTGTGTTCACAGCTGTCAGATGCTGTGATGGAATGAAAAGGAAGTATATTAAATATGTGCTAAGTTACTCTGAGAAGCCATAAGCTTACACTGCAGTGTGGTTTGAAGTTAACTTCCTTACTTTCTGTAAGCTCAGAAACATTTTCATTTGATAAAATACCAAATGCGAGGCATAAATAGTACCTGAAACAGACAGAGCAATAGTTCTCAAACCAGTTCTTAGCGTTCTTGTTGGAGGTTCTAACATTCTTCTTCCTTGCTTTTCTTAATATTCTGATTGCATTCCTGAATATTTATCTTTTTGAACAGTCAGTTTTCTTATCCAGGGTAGCAGAGAATGCTGTACATAATTGAAGACACGATATACGGACTCTAGGGAGCTTGATACAGATATATCTGCAATCTCTGAGACCACAAATAATGTGGTAGACTGAGTTGTGCAGAATTTGATAGTTCTGAATCTCACAGATAAGTTGGATATCTTTGCATCAAGGCCTCTTAGGATCCCAGTAAGAGGAACACTTGCAGTGAATCTAAGCAGACGTTGTCCATTACCCAGGTGGGTCTGGCAGGCCTTTCTAGTTCTGAAAACGCCAGAACACTGAACTTGAATTTAAAGTCTAAGTAGATCTCACAGCCCTTTCTGCAACACAACTACAGTCTCTGCATCTGTGATATAATAATCCATGATCCCATAAATTATTCACAGCTGAAGTGACTGTAATGCTTCTCTATGAGTGCATCTTCAGATAGTTGTGACAGGGACACCTTGTAGTTAAATTAGTAATATACAATATTCTGGATAAGCAAAGATAGAAGAGACATCACTTGTGAAATGTAACCTGCTAAGTTGCAATACAGTGTTAAATCTTGGAAATTGCTGTTAAAAAGTAAAAAAATACTGGACTTACAATGGGATGGAAAATAATTTTCAGGTGAACTAAATAGCTACTAGAGATGGTACAACTCATACCTACTGGATACTTGGCTTTACTTTTGCAAGGTTAAACTTCAGGAGACAAACTAAATGTTCTTTTTGCTTAGGAAACTGTATCCAGAGTTTGGACAAGTCAGTCTCCTTTGCAACACCCTCCCAAAAAACGATGTAGCTGAGAAGGAGGGATGTGAACTGGATTCTAGTCATTCTCAGCTATTTGAATAGCCTTTTGAAGGCTGTTGCAAATGAGTGAGAGCCAGAGTAACCTGGATGTTATGCTTAAGCTACCCAAACTTATACTGTTGTGTACAGGAATGAACTACCTGCCAGACCCTATCAGTGGCGTGTGGAGAGGGGACTTTTCAGTGTTTGTGTCCTGTACTCTGCCTGAGCCTGTCACTAAAATTTGGCAAGTGCAAAGGCTTTACAGTCTTGTGCTCGGTTTAGATCTGTATTTAATATCCTGAATTGCAGTATACTTTGGACTGTGAATTCTTCAAAGAGGATTCCAGAACAGTACAGCTTCCTGTAACACATCTTTTTTCACTTGGTAAGTATAGCATATTATTTTGGAAAAAAAATGAAAAACTAATATTACTAACATTTGGATAATAAATTTGCCAAAAAATTCCAATGGTCAGGGAGGTTTTAGGGGGGGTGTTTTTACAAGTGTTAATACTGCTGTTGTTAGTAACAGACAAAGAAATAAGAAATGTGGGGGTTTTGACTAACAGATATAGAGGTATATAAGTCTTCTGGAAAAAAAAAATCTGAAGATGTAGTGAGTCCTCAAATAATTTTATCTAATATGTGAAAATAATACATCCTTTACAGGGCTTTCTTCAAGCAAAATTCTATTAAATTCGACTGGCTTACTTTACAATGTACAGCTCCAGCAATTTAACCAAGTGAGAATGCTACTTAATTTTTTAAGCTAATGTAACCACTGTTTGGAGAATGTGATTTTTTTAATTTTTTTTAATGTTCTAGATATATCAAGCTTTCAAAATTTATATAGAGAGCCACTGCCAGTCACTCAAAGGTAAACACAAGTCTTCTAAAGTATAAATTTATAAAACAAAACTTGTTGAAAATTCTCAAGACTTAAGCTGGTGGAAGCAGAGGTCCTCTCATGCAATGGGATTTAGGCAGTACTGTTAGAATCTGCTCAAATGTCTCTGCTAATATCTCTCATTTTCCACTTTTTGTTAAGCAGGATAGCTCAAAGAAATTGTGGAATTAGTCCTCATACGTTGGTTTTCCTTACTTCCCGGCAAAGGGAAGTTGAACTTTCAGCAGGATTCTGCATTATGTTAAAAGTGTTTCTCAAGAATAGCACATTTGACTAGGATTTTTATTTGCTGATTATAGGATGCAAATTTGAATGTTGAGCTACATGATCTTAAACAGAATGGGATGCTAAAGGACTTTGTTTCAAAAAAAAAAAGTGATGGATTTATTAGCTTGAGTTTACAGCTTTGTATTGAAAACCAGAAGTTTTCTCGTAACTGTTCTGCCTTTAAACATTGCTGTCTCGCTGTCTTGTTCTGTAACAGCATGTGTTAAAAAATGCCATTTTTGTTGAATGTTAACTGCACTGATCTGCATTGCAATGTCAATTGCAATGTAACTGCAAGCCCAGTGATTCTCTATAGTGATCTATATGCCACTTTTGTTTTACTTGCATTTTACATTTTGGAGACAGTTGTCACATCTTGTTCTTAATTTAATATTTTTTTAATTCTCTTCCATTTCAGAAAGAAAACCTAGTGTTTACAGACTCCATGTACCCTGGTCACATGAAGACTCAATAATTGTAGCAAAGTAAGGACTTCAGCAATTGCAGTTTGCTTCTTGATATGTTTTTGAGGAAGGTTTACATGTCCTGTTGTGGTAAAATTTCTGATATGAGACAACTTGCCAGTCTTAAGTGTTTGGCTTCTGCATCTTTTCCTCATTTACCTCTTGCCCTTGTTGACAAAGTTGTTTTGACTTTTCCTTAAAATAAGAATTACTACTAATTGTTTGTTTAATAGTTCTCACTAATTTTCTCCAAAAGGAAGTCAGATTTGCTGGTCTGAAATTCTCAGCGTAATCTTTGATGCCCCCATGAGTGGGAAATAGAGGCTGCTTTGGATGGTGGCTTCTTCTTGTAACCCTGAGTGTTGATCACACAGCAGCCCTGAGTTGCTTCAGCAGCATAGTCCTGACAAAATCAAATTATATGGCTTGAAATGTGTCGCGCATAAATCGCAGTTGAACAACCTGACTTTATTTTAAATGGTTGGAAAAATGTCTTACATGTTTATTTTAGAGGTCTGGAGAATACCTTCCCATTTTTTTTTTTCCTGTATTTTCTAACAACATGATGCTTGCAGGAAACTGGAATGTATTCTTGAGAATCTGTCCTTCATGTTCTTGTCACTCAGCATATTTACGTGTTCTGTGAGGTAGTGCGTACGCTAATGCTAAACTTGTATGTTTTCATTAGTACTGCGCCCCTTGATAGTTCAGAAGACAGTCGATCGAGAATGTTATGTAGTTCCTTGTGATAGAATAAACAAGTTCATTTAACCATTTTTCTCATAACTTGTGCTGACACTTGGTGTACTGGATCTGCTTTATGTGCACTTGTTGAAGACTAAGTTATGTTTGGCTTATTTTGATTATAAGGACAGTTACCAATGAAGTTGCTGTTTCAGAGTTCCATCTTTTACTGAGTTTTCCGCAAAACTGCATATTGCTCGGCCCCGAAATGACAGCAGGGTACCAGAGTTAAATATTTACTCTTCCTCAGACTGTCAGTATGAAGTGAGTAATACAAATTTATTTTATAGCTAGTTTGCATTGCTGTATAACTTTTGCATAATTCAGTCTTTTAAAACATGTAGCCAGTTAATCAAAATAAATACTAGGCAAATCTAAAGGTGGATTGTTTGGCCTTTTTCTAAATGTAGTGCATGTTACAAGTATTTTGCAACAACTGGAGTAATACTGAAAGTTAGGCTCTCGTTTCTAAGAAAAACTTTAAAGCATTTGTTTTTAAAACGTCAGTAGTAAGCTGTTGTACATTTTAGTTATGGGATTGCTCTATTCTAGTACTTAAGTTGGCTTCTTAAAAATAAAAGTATTTTGTACTTATGCTTACCATTGTATAAAATAATAAAATATTTGTTCTTTTTTAATCAAGGTAATTCTGAAGACATCATTTTTACAGATTCTTGGGCAAGTAAGAAAACCTTGTAGTACTAGATTGTTTTTTATGTCAGTAGCATTTATGGAAGTTTTCCCTTCCTCCCTTCCCTACTATGGAACTTCAAGTTCATTCTTGATGCCGAGAGGAACACTATTCAGTGATCATTTAAAACTGTGTCACTTGGCAAGGCATCTCATCTGGATAAATGTCAGGCCTCCATTTTTAGAGGAATAGAAAAGCACTCTAGCTTTAAAGAGCTAATGTAAATGTTAAGCATTTGACTTTGTGGTTAGGTGAGTATCTGTAAAGTCATGACAGTGTAGGTCACTTTCAGTTTCTTGCCTGATGAGTCAGTAGTGTTAAAACTTTAAAATATGTTGGGCATCAACTAAAAGTTAGGAAAAAAGTCTAAGTAGACCCACATGCTCCTTTTCAACAAATTTTCTTTGGTTAGCAATGAGGAATACATTTCGACATCGGTATCAGTAAAAATAGACTAGCCATCTGCAGTTCTCTGATTCTATAAAGTAATTAATTTGCAAGCATCTAAGCGTAGTGCTGGAATATTATTGGCAAGTTTCTCTATTTGAATGTATGCATTTATATCAAGGATTTTTCATTTTATTATCATTTTAGAAGAATTTATGTGCTATTTGTATATTAATCATGACTTGGGACAGTGGAAGACAATTAAAACACATATGAAGTTGCTTCAAAAAATTCTTTGCCCCAAAACATATATAACTATATGCAGGTTTTGCTTGGAAAGTGGCCTTTTACTTCTCATTTTTTATTTTATTTTACGGAAACACCATTAACATGCTACTGTATTCTTTTAATATTTGTCTTGACTGGGAAAAAAGTATTCATTTATAATTTGGTCATTTATCAAAACATGTTTGATTAGCTGTTTATGAGAGATCTGAGTATTTTCCATATATAACATTAATTGTTAATGGTGGTTATCAAATACTTATGCATTAAAATGAGAAACTGTTTGAATCTTTTAAGAAAGATTTTTCTAATCACATTATCATGCTGGCTTCATGATAATATTTTTGTATGTATTTTTTAAATGTATTTTTATATATATAAAAATTAAAAGTTATCCTTCTATCCTTGTCTTTCAGATAGTAAGGTTCCATGCTGGTGCTCTTCCTGTCTATGTTGTTTCTAATATTCTTCTTACTTATGGAGGACAACTGAGCACATTGATATCAACAGGTAGCTTTGCAGAAAAATTTTTTTTTTCTGTCACAAGTGTTTTTAGAGAAATTACTCATCCAATTTACTGTTGAAAGGCTGGCTAGCTGTTGTGATTTTTTTTTTTTTTTTTAAGCTAAGTATCATTGAACTTATGCGAGTACTTGGATTTATGCTCTTCAGTTTCACTTTCTGTTGGTAGTTCTCCAGGGTTGTGTTGTAGCAGAGTATTTCCTTATTTCACTCTGCAGTCCATTCTTTGCAAATGATTGGTGTTGTGCAATGTTTTAGAATTAATAGATGTCTACTTAAAAATACATGTAGAAGTTTAAAATATATCGTTGATATGAACAAAACATTTTATTTCTTGCATGCAGATGAAATTTGCAGACTAATTTTTAGAAATGTCTTCGGACAAAAGGCATTTTTATTTAAATTGAGGTGTGTTTGTAACAAACTGTCTTCTCTCTAGAAGCCCTTGTGACATATTACCTGAATATGAGTGATCCAGTGAATAAGGACTTTGATGAAGTATGCTGACTTACAGTACTGTTATAAGACATGGTTATCTTGCTTTAAAGCAAACTTTCAAACCTTTATCTGAGTTGACTTTTTGTGTGGATCTTCTTTGTTAAAGTTTATGACAAAATAATAATGATATATACTTTCTGTTCTTGATTCTAGGCCAGTGTTCAGAATTTTCCCTTGAACTAGTTAGGACAGCTAAACCCTACAAAGTAGAACCTCTAATAAGCATTGTTGTGTTTCTGCAGGGGTGAGTTTGCATAACTTATTTATTTATTTAAAGCAGTTTCCAAAACAGAAGTTTTAGTAAAATTATTGGTAGGGAGGAATATTTTATCTGTCGTCATTGTAAACACCTGACTGTAACTTTGTTTGAAAGACTGTAGTAGGCAGAATAGTTGATATATATCTTACTGTAATGGCAATTGGAAGTGATAAGTAATACTGCTTTCATGTTTTTGGCAGGTTTAACTGGTTTAGAGAGATATGGGAATCACTGTCACTACCAGAGGTGGATACAGCTGTACTGAGTAGTCAGGATGCATGGTTCCCCCTTGTGTCCCTGATTCTATTTCTTTTTGGGACAGGCATTGCCTACTGGAGTGGAGTATTTTTCTCTACATCTCTGCGACTCTTCTCTTCGTTATGGTTAACTCTGATTAGGTAAAACAACATTGTGCTGCATAATGATGCTGTTTTAGATGACTGTGACCCTGTCAATTTTTTCTGTTTGCTTCAGTGTGAATGCTTGGGCAGATTAAATTCTGCAATATAGTTCATAGATGGTTTTAGCCATCTGGGTTTGTCAGTGTTAAGTACTAATGAAGTATGAGGATTGCCTCATATTCCTTTTTCCACATCTCCAAAAGGGAACTTAAATGGCTTTCTTGTTTTCTTTACCAGCTGTTATGAAGGTTTTCAGTTTGTTTTTGAGGAAAGCTTGTTGGGGAAAAGAAAGCAACTGAACTATTACCTTTTTAGCAGCTCAAAAAATAAATGTATATATTTAGAAAGGGACTATAAGCATTGCAATCCATTCCTCATTGTTCATATTGGATAAACCGCATTAAAGAATGCAAACGGGTTTGTAAAACAAAAACTTCTTGGATGTTAATTTCACCTGACAAGACTGATTCATTTTATAGATGTAAGAACACTGGAATGTTTTTGCTTGTAGAGATGAGTATTCAAATATGAAAGGGAGTTTAAAAAAAGCAAGGAAGGTAAAAAGATTTTGAAAGAGTAAATTAGTAAATTGGGTAACATGCTTAGCTATTTTAATGGTTTGACTGTTCTCACTCTGATAACAGTCCTCAGCTAGGTTTGAACCAACTCTCTGTCTCCGGAAAGTTGGTTGGGGTGCTCTTTACTCCGAAAATGTCTGCTAAATGAACTCTTCCTTTTCTCATCGCTACTGCTTCTGGTCTTACTCTACCAAATAATAGATGTTGTGTCAGCTATTTCTTCTCAGCCATCTTGTTTATAAATTATGGTGGATGCTCAGAAACTTCAGTGATGAACTGATAAAATTCTAAGTTTTGCAGCTACTCTTACTACATTTTTAAGGGTTTTATCTGAATTCATACTCTTTGCATTAAAGCTTTTTATTTCCTGCAAACCCTGAGAACATCTTGGGCATAGGCAGGAAAATAAGATTTTGTGTGCCTGCCTATAAGTCAGCTGGTTCATTTTGAAATTCTAGTGCCTTATATGGGTTTTCGTCTAGTCCTAAATTTCTTGGGGAGAGGGGGGGGGATTCTACAAATCTCTCTAAAGTAGATAGTATTCACTTGACTTTTGCTCAGTGTTCTGAAATGATCTGATATGGCCAGCAGCAAAGAATTTGTCACTAGCTGCTGTGGATTTCTTTGTTCATGTCAGCTAGCCGCCTTTTTGTAGTTATTTTCAATATTTGTTGCAAGGCATTTTAAAATTGTATTTTCTAAATAATGCTTTTCCTGTTTTCAGTGTGTATTTTAATACTGGAATGTTCTATGAGTATCCAAGAAGTACAGACTTTTTCATAGTTCTATGGCACTTCCTCCTCACCCCGTTCCCTTCATTGTCACACCTTCTCAGCTCATCTTTGTGGTTTCGAATTCATACTTGTGTCTTAGTCTTACCAGCTGGAATCCAGAAACTTAAAATAAGCTTTTCTGTGTCTCTGAGGCTGAGCAAGCAGAAATTCCTGTCTGGAAAGCATGTTTGTCACAGAACTAATCTCTTGGAGACTTATTTTTATATGCTGCTGTACTATCATTGAACACTGCAGTGCATTAACGTTTGTAGTAGGAGTCACTTTCATGATGCAGCTGTGCAGTAATATTAAGATACTCGTTCTTTTGAGTATCAGAAGAACTTAGTGCCTGATGCAGATCTACAGTAAGCATTATCTAATGCTTTATGTTCACCAATGTATCCTTTATGTTCCCCAAATGAAGGAAAAACTATACATTACGTACATTCTGGAAGGTGTAAGATTGTTTTGTTTGTTCATTTGATAAGAAAGGGGTTTTGGGTTTCTTTTTTGTTTTTGCAAAGTAGTTTACATAGCAGTTGGCATATATGTTCACATTTGTCTAACTTTATTTTTCCAGTGTTTAATCAATATTCAGGAGCAATTTATTCTTTTCAGTCATTCACAAAACAGAATTATTCTTTGATCTTTTGTAGTTTTGATGTTGTTACAAGAGTATAACAGCAATTTTGTCTTTATTTTTTAGACCTACTGTACTTCAAGAAGATAACAAGTTGATTACACCCAGAGGACTCTGTGGGGTGTTATCCCTTGCTTTGGTTAGCTGGACCACTTGCGGTGCATTTGCTGTATTCATTATGTATCTTCAGTACTTGTTTAAGGTATTCAAAGGCTAAACATTTTGAATTCATGACTGAATTCAAAATTTTGGATGCTTTGAATTAAAAGCAAAAATACAGATTACCATTTTTCATACTTAGAAGCAATGTTGTTATTCGCATACTTAAAATAGGGGAAAAATACAGATTACCATTTTTCATACTTACAAGCAATGTTATTATTCGCATACTTAAAATAGGGTTTTTTTTTTAACTTATCAAACTCTCACAATGTTGTAATCTTTAGAATTATTTTGTTCTTTTCATAATGCTTTTTCCAAAGAAATGTACACTCCCATATCCCCACTACAATAATGCATATAATTGTGACTTTTAACTTAGGTAATGTTATAAAATCAAAGACTTAATAATTCCCTTGAAGAGAAACTTTAACAAAGGGGGATCTAGGAATGTTCTGTCAAATACTTTTTGTCTTTAAAGACTTTTCACAAATCTGTATGGAGTAAAAGGAAGGAGGGTGGATATATTGTAGAATTAGGATAGTCTTACTGTGTGTCTAATCTGATCCCTTGGCTAGTGCCACAAAGATCCATATTTAGTCCCTGCTGTTCAGTTTCCATGGTCTTTCTTGCATCAGAGCATCTAACTTACCTGATTCACCCTATGGTGTATAGCTGCTAAATCAGCTACGATACTTAGCTACTAGGGAAGCACTGGTGTATGCATCTGGGAGTAGGGGCACAAAGCAGAGCAGCTTACAGGTGGTCTGAAGTAGGTAAGTGGCAGCTGACAGCACAGCCTGAGGAACAGGTCTATCTGTAATTGAACTCCCTGTGACATGATGTTATCCTGTGAAGGACATTCCCACGCTGACTTACTCCCCCTTCTGCAGTAAATCTCTGATATGGGACTTCTCCTACGTGGCCTGTTTATGGGTTTCTGCAGAAAGTGAAGTAGAACTGAATTAGCAGGAGGAGGTGAGGAATATGCAGATTTTTCACTCTGTATTCTCTGTCAAGCACAGTGGAAGGGGAGAAAGCAGAGCAGCATGTTTTCTCTCTGTGCTTCGAAATCCTTGAGAGCGCACTTTGGATGCTACTGATAATAAAGGCAGAAGGAGTTCTTGCATTGCAGCTCCGCTGAGGCCCTAGAGTCATCTAGCTATAAAAAGGGTCAAACAATAATTAGCCCAATTTTTTTTTTCCTTGTATACTACAGCTTTTGTGTGAAGAAACATTACTTAAAAAAGCTCAACTGTCTTACAGGTTATAAAACTACATGTGAATGTAAGAGCAGAACAAAACATGCTTAATGGGGTAAGTCTGTTTCCTGCTTCTGGGCAAAATTGTGAACAAAAATTGTTTGGCAAACCTATGCATTATGAATTGTTATTGTCTTGCCTTGGTAGTATTAGGTTGTGCTGTGATGACTGGATGGCTGTAGTTTACTTACTGCCTGCATGATGTGAAAGAAAAGCCAGGGCATGAGTAGCCTGTTCCATCACATATGACTATTGCATTCACTGTTCAAGATCACTACAGCGTGAACTTGTCTGAAGTTCATTTAAGAAGAAAATGTAGTCTCTGAATACATACAGAACAATAGTTTTTATCTGGTATTTGGTCATGCATGCTTTATCTAAAGAAATAAATTTAATTTCTAGATAATAGTCTACTACAGGTAAATACCTTTTTTCCAGATAGGTAGTTTGGGGGTTGTTTTAATCAGGAGATGGCAATAATGATTTATTAGATGGATATAGACTGAGACCCCAGTAAATTGGGAGCTGTTTAAAAAGGAGTGAAGAAGCATTAAATTTCATGCATTGTAAACTTTGTTTTTTCAGTTACTTTAGGGTACAGGATTGAAGATATGAGCATGTATGGATACAAGCATAGAATAACTACCTGTTCTTTTTTGCAAAGATAGTTAAAAAAGCAGTCTGCCCGAAAAAGTTCTTGACAGTTTTCTTTGAATTTCTTTGAGTGGTTTTTTGTTTGTTTGTTTAGATTTAAATCCTCTCTATCTCTTCTTTCATCTCCATATAATTTTTTGAGGCTTTGTTTCATTTGTGGGTTTTTTTTTCTGTCACTGGAAGTTAGCATCTGCCAACACACAGTTGATCTTTGTTATTTATTCCTACAGCTCATGTTTTACTCCCAGTTGCATTACCTCCTGTATCTTTTTCCATGAATGATCATCTGTGATTTTCATCTGCATGCTTTATTAATCCTTTTATTCTGTTCTTCCTCCTTCCAGGAACTCCATGTCTTATAACTGCATTGGTGTCAGGGCATCTCCACTCACAATTCTTTTCTTCCAAAGACATATAAACTATTAGTGTAAGAGAAACTTCTGGTTAAATCTAGGTGCTTTAATATTGAACTATTGAACTTTGCTTTTGATTGCTTTTTGAGAGATAAATTTTAAATTTTCTTCTTAAATCAGAACTGGTATGATACTGTTGCAACACTTTTTCCCTCTTCCTCCCCCAGCATGAGTTCTTGCAAGCCTGTGCATGTTTTTATGACTTTTGTCTTTTATTTTCAGGATTCAGACTGCTCAAAAGAAACTTCACGGAACTCCAGTATACACACAGTCAAAAACCAGAGTTCGATGGACAGTACCTCAAAACCAACACCATCTCTTTCCAACAGTACAACAATTGCTGAAGCTGTTAACAGTCTTAAGATGCATGTTACAATTCTCAGTCTATTCACATGGATTGTGCTGCTCAACTTGCCATCTTTAATTTATTGGTTAAAAAATCTCAGGTAACTTCTTAAATTGCCAATAAAATGGAAGAAAAGAATATGAACCTTTGAAGATAGTAAAAATTGCAAATGTTTGACTCTACTTTATTAGCTACCTTTCAGTATCAAAGACTTCTGTTAATTATAATTGTTTTTTCTATGCAATCTGGTTTATTTTATAGTATAAGTAGGTGTTAAGTGAATCAGTGATATGCTGAAGGAAGTAATGATTCGGAAAGGATTTAAAGTCGGGCTGTGATGCCATATACATTTCATGTATGTTTGTTGTTATCAGTACATGCTTGTTCCCACCTTGGATTTTATCTGGTAGCCTAGTTTAGAAGTAACGTGCTTTTTAAATGATTTTTTGCAGGTACAATGTTAGACTCGATCCTGATCCATGTAGATTTACAGCTATTATCCTTGTATGCATTTTAGAAATTCTCATGAACTCAAGTACTTCTGAAGTGAAATCAAGGTACTGTAGCCTAATCCTCAGTTTTTGTTTTCATGCTTCTTTCTTACTACTTCCATTTGTGTGGTAAAACTAAATTTATGCTGCACAGACATGTAATTGTTCAGCCTACATAGAGATTCATAAACTTGTATGATTAAATCTTAGACTGGGTAAAATGCATGCAAATTACCTGTAGTTCAGCAAAGTGGAGGAAATCACTGGTATTTACCACATGGACTTAAACGAAGTATTTCCTATCTAAATAGTTGCATAAAGACTTCTTTAATTATGACTTTTTCATTCACAATTCATTCCAAATGTTACAGAATCCTAATACATTTAGCAATTATTGTCAGAAAGTTACAAGGAAAAGTGAACTCTAAACCACTGTAGTTGCGTTCTTGTAATTCCCCCTTATGGGCACACTTGTGCAAATGTAACATGCTTTCTACTGGATTAAGAAGTTTTGAGCACTTGGTTTTGCTGACAGGCAGAGCATTTCTTGTTCAGATACAAAATTAGGAATGAATAATAACCAGTGTAGTTTATCCTCTTGACCAGTACCTGTTAACTCAAATGATCTAAAACATTGAATCTTTCTTTGTTACAGAGAACTTATTTCTAAAGTAATATAAGAATATTTTTAAATGACACTTTATTAGCCTTTTTGAATAATTGCTCTTGCTTATGCATCAGTTGTTATTGCCCATTACACCTATTTGTTCTGTTTCAAAAACTAGCAAATCCTTGAAATCTAGAAATTATTTTTCAAAACAAAGTGAAATATGGTATTTGCATACCTTCTGCATGTATGGCTACAAAAATGGCATTTTTTTTCTTTATATTCTTACAGTAAACTCTTGAAGATCGCAGCCAAAGTTCCACTCCCTTTATCTGTTGCAATGTTGGCCTTTGGACGAATGCATTTGTACAAAGTACCACACTTTGTAACCTTTTCTCTCCTTCTACATGTGCTGTGTTGTATTGTGTAATGTTTGTTATACGTAGGAAGAACAGTGCAGCCTCGAAACTTAGCATGGGACATGGGGCAAATTTCAACAAAGAAATGCCTAGATTGATATCATCAGTAATTTACATTATGTGAGAAAGAGGACAGAACTGTCAATACTTTATGAAAAGTTCATAGTTCTGTTTGTGTTGCTTGGAAAGCTTTTCACGGTGTTTATTTCCTGACTGTGAAAATTAAGTGAATTAACTCTCTGTGTGTGTGTAAGCACATAAATCATATCAGCGTAACATCTCAATACTCTGCCTTGTAGATACTTTGATATTTCACTATACTACTTTGTTGAAACAGACTTTTTTACTCAATATACCATACAGTGCGTATGTTCTGAACTTGCATCTCTTGCAGGTCTAAATTATGCTGGTTAAAACTCAATGCATTTCAAGCACACTGTGACTATCACAAAAACTACACAGCCAAGTATACTTTTAATCATTTTATGCTACATTTAAAAGCTGCCACAATTGTGTCCAGACAAACTAGAATGTACTGCTTATATAGAACTGTTATTTCTATCAAATCATTTGTTCAATCAGTATGAGTTGAACATTTGTGAGATTATTGAGAGTCTAATACATTTTACTTTTTGTGAGAGTGAGAAAACAACAATATTCTGTGTAGCTTTCTATTCAGGAAGGATACCAGCAGATTCATAAACAATTTGCTGTAATGTTGTTTTAAAACATTGCCAGTTTTCCCTGGAATTTTGTCAGTTCTGAAATAGCTCCTTGGACCTTGTCCATACATAGAAGCTAGCAAACGTTGAGGTATGGTGTGAGTTTACAGTGCAGTTGCTGTACTGCAGTAGATAAGGCAGGGTTTTGTTCCTATTGTAAATGGAGACTCAACTGTTTCATAATAAATGTCCACACATGAAATTGATATGGAATAGTTACAACACTGTAAATTCATGCTCTGCCATACAGTGCTAACTTCCTCACGTGGACAAACTCTGAGTAATAGTGGGAAATACTGACCATAATTATTGCTCTGTATAAAGTATTATCTTAGTGCCTAGATGCTACAGTGACTGCCATTTATAATAAAGCCTAAAATAGCTATGTGTAAGGAATTGTGTCCCCTGGGTATGTGTTTTGCCAACAGAAGAAATCTCAGTAGCCATAGGTTAAAATGATGTATTGATTCTGTGTAAAGATGAGCTTACTGCTTGCTTCTGTGTTAGTTGTCTCCACTCTGTCTGAGATATCTGTTATCTTCATGTGGAAGTATAGACCAGCTCAGTCATCTTATATGAATAGTAAGAGGAAATCTGCTACCTACAGTCATCAAGTATATTCTTGATATAGTAGTACAGCCAGCCTGACCCATTAATTTTATCTTATCTCATTAATCTTGCCTAAAGTGCCTCAGTTAGTTTTAGCATGGTGTTAGGGTCAATTCATTTGCGCTGGCTGGAAAGACTTAATTCAGACAGTGACTTTCCAAAATGCAGGACAAGTATGAAGTAGGCACCTGTTTTGTCCGCTTATATACAAGTCAGCAGTTCAAGCTATCAGTAAGTCATTAAAACTACTTTACCTGAGTAAGATTATTGTAGTTAACCAAACCACTGTCACTGTTATTGGTAATCTATGTGCTGGTGTTATAGTCTTAACCTTTTTAAAAAAAGGTTAGATTATACATAGTGTTTGTAAATCAGAAAAGTTATTTGAATAGATTATATCTTGATACTTTCTAATCAAATGTATGCTACAGTATATGTATATAAGATAATTTGTGTGTCTAAATATACTTGTAGCTAAATCCACCAGTTGGTTTAACCTAGAAATTGCTGTTCAGACATAGTAGAGTAGTCTTTCTGCATTCAAATAGCTGTGAATGAAAGATGGTGGCAGAAATGCATTGGGGCTGGTAAAAGGCAGTCTGTGAAACAGGCAGGATCTGATTTCTGTGGAAGATAATTTTCCTTGGCCCTTTTCATGGTCCTTTGGACTTACTACTGCATTTTACTTCTGATTTTGTTTTGCCATCTTAATGGGCTCTTTATACATGAATGCAATTGTTGCAGGTGTTGGTGGAATAAAATAATAATCAGAATAAGGATAGCAAACAGTCTCTGCATGTAGTAGCTTTGATAGCTTCCAAAATCTGCCACAACGTGAAACTTCTGAATTACAGCAGCATAGAATAACACCTTTTTTTATTATTATTTAATTGTATCTTTAAAGCTGGGAATTGTGTTGATAGTTGTTATCACTGTTTGTGAAATGGGTTACAGAATCTTGCATAGATTCCTACCTGATTTTCAAGTTGGAGGTAGAAATAGATATAATCCTTAGTCTGAGATCCCAGATGACAGAATTTATCACACCTCCCTCAACCTCCCTTTATTTTCAGAGATGGTTTTTCTTCACTGCAGGAAGGAGGGGAAGTCTTACTGCTACTTTGGATTTATATGCATTCTGTGTCATTTGTTAGATGAAAACTGTTCTCAGAGATGCGCGTCTGGATTTTGCAGTGATTGTGGACTGCGTAACTTCAGCTGTTTGAGTGATTAGGTGTCTAATCCCAACTAGATTTTCTATATAATCGATGGAGAGGGATAAGATTAGAACAAGTCCAGAGAACAATTCATCCCATTCTAAGAGACGATGAACGATCCCACTTGTCATTCTGAAAAGGGCAAGATTTTATAACAGTCTAAAATTGTTTTTCAGCTAAAATACAAT